CATTATCCTTATTCACATGGTTAAGGTTGGGTTGAAATGGATCATAACAAACTAGATTGTGTCAAGTGAGATATAGACAAGTCAAATTGATAAGGTCAGACCCAATTAAAACAAAGTATACTATGTCAGAAAGATTGAGTCAAATCGAGTTAGATTGATAGGTTAGGATGAGTCGGGTCGTGTTGGGTCGACCAAGGCTAGATCAGGATGAGTTGAACCTATCAAGTCGAGGTGGGTCCAAATGAGTCAAGTCAGATCGTAAGTGAAGATAAGTTAAGTCAAGTTCAGACAAAGTGTGTCCAATTAGGAGGGTTAGATCACAATGAATCAAGTAAGATGAAGATAAGTCAAGTTATGATAGGTAAGGTTAGGGTGAACAAGGCCTACTTTGGCTAGTTTGTGTCGGTCTTTTGGCAAGTGTCTCCGCCGTCCCTTCCCGGCGAGGGAAGGGGAACTGTGAAGGCGGTCGGTTGCGACGTGATGGTTTTATGACTCGCATTTTTTCAAAAATGTGTGGTCATCACTTTTAGAGTGTTTGATAACCGAACTACCTTTAAGAACGAGGTTTTTGTAAAAAAAGGTTCTAAGGAGTCGTCACCGATGTTTTTACCATAAACATCGGAAAAGGAAGAATAAAAAGGCATTGGTTTAAGAAAAACCAACTTTGACCATTATAACCAGAGTTGGGTAAGGGAATTAGTTACGTGTGGGGAAGGTGTTAACACCCCACAATACCCCTTTCGGTTTCCCTATGATGGAATAATTCTAAAATAAAGATATCGAAATTATGCTTCTACCCTATTTATTTATCTACTTGCACTAATTAAATATCTACATGACCCTAATATCTAATGCACACAAAGGAAAGAAGTAAAGGAAAGCGATAAAAGAGAGAATAAAAAAAAGAACCTCCGAAGCGAGCTTTTTATAAATTCCTCAAACTAGTGAACGCTTTTTGGCAGTCCCCTCGCTCTACAATGTCACTCCTCCCTCCAACAGAAAAGAAAACTTCAACTCTTGAGTGTCTAAAAGATCACTCAGACTCCAGAATAATGCTCATAGTCGCCTAAAGGTCTTAAAATGTCTTCTAGGTTGAGAGAAGAGTGTGAGAGTGTGGAAATGGTGAGAATGAATCCCTATTTATAGGAATTCACGTTAGGCAGGCCGGGACGGCCGTTTGGGCATTTGGCAGGTGGGACGGCCGTTTGGGATAGTGGGACGGTCGTGCTGGGCTCAAAAATAGGTGGGACGACCGTCTGAAAAAAATGGGACGATCGTCCCAAGGTTAAATGAAGGTGGGACGACCGTCTGGGAAAGTGGGACGACCATCCCAACCTAAATAATAAGCGGGACAGTCGTCTGGAGATGTGAGACGGTCGTCCCGTGTTTTGTTGATTTTCTAAATTTTTTATTTTCTTAAAAATCTCTCCTATTCGTAAATGGAGCCTAGTGAATGCTACTAGGGACCTAATGGAGCTTTAACCATCTTCGAAACGGAGGATTTCTGAGAGTTACTGTTTGACCGGGCCAGATTTGGGGTCTACAACAAGCATACCAATATTATCAATCGCAGTACAATATTTCAATTAAATAAAAATCGATCCCACGAGGAACGGTTTCATTGGAAATTCCAAGTTATATGCTTATTAAGTATATTGACACAAAATTGATTTTTCATAAATATGTGGGTTGAAAATAAATGGCAAAGAACTATTAGTATTTTTAGAAAAGATGAAATATAAGAACTTAAGATTGGATTAATTCATTTTCTCTCCTTTTTATAATGGCTAGGTCAAATTCATAACATCAATTAACCTATCAATATTGATGTCACCTACTCAAATCATTCACATTGATTCCTCAAAAATGAAATTCATAAAAAAACCTTATAAACATAGATTCCTCATACATTTAATATAGATTTTCCAGTATTAGGTTTAGGGTGTTAAGAAATTGAAACATCCATTATCATTCCTAACAATCAATGTAGCAAATATTATTAACCTAATCAAGGGTTTCAAGATATATTTTTCAATATATATGAACATCAAGGATAAAAGCATTAAAAGACACAAAGGATAAGAATAACAACATCAAGAACATAGATTAATATATCAAAATATCACCAAGATACAACAAAGTTCAAAGGAAGTACACTCAATCCTAAGAGAATGAAGTTAGTCACTCATGATGATCATTACAATGATCTAAATGAAGAAGAATTAAAGATTGGACAAAAACTAGAGTAGTTGTCGCGTCTCTCTTCTTAAAATCTCCAATTCCTTTTTCTCAAAACGCATCTTATCTTTTTATAGAAAAACTTGGGTTACATGTCATTCGCTCAAGCGAAACATTCACTCAAGCGAAAAATGATGATTTTCGCTCAAGCGAGAAATGTTCGCTTGAGCGGTTGAATTCCTGAGAGTTTTAATGTATTTTTGCTCAAGCGAATAAATGTTTGCTTGAGCAAGTGACTTCCAAAGAGCTTTAACGTATTTTCGCTCAAGCGAGCATCTGTCTTGCTTGAGCAAATCTCAGGTTGAAAATATTCTTCCTTCTTTCAATTTATCTTCAATTATCTTGAAAATTATGATCATTGCTCTTGTATCAATGTATTCTAAAAATTCATCCTACATTGGGAGAAAAATAGATTGGAATCAACATAATTTAAGTGGTTAAATAATAATTAAAAACATAATTATATCAACTTTTATCACTTAACAGTTTGGTGAAATTTGATCAAAAAGAGATGGATTAGGCTAGGACAAGTTAGGTCGGGATGAGTTGAACTAAGTCAAGATAGGTCAAACTAATATAGGATGAACCAAATTGAGAATGATCAAGTTGGGATGGTTTGATCATGATTAAAATGTGTCAAGTTGGTTCAAATTAGGTTAAGATGGGTCCACTTATACTAGGTCATGCTAATTTGGGTTGAACTAGGTCGACCATGTTGTACTAATGTAAAATGTATTTTTTTAAGTTAGTATTTTCTCGTCATATTGGTTACTATCTGACATAACAAAAAACATGATAATATTTTTGAACTTAAAACAAACTTTTTTATGTCAAATCATATAGAATTCGACATAAAAAAATTGAAATTTTCAACATAAATTGTACTTTTTATGTTATATCTTATATGGTTTGATGTAAAATTTGTTTTATATCTCCTCTAACGATTTGTATTCCTAGTGTGTAAGGGGATTTTTTGTTGAGCGACTACTATTGTAACCACTGTATATTTGTAGCTATTTCCTATTCATAAAATTGAAATTTTATTTAAGTTCTATTCTCTTGGTTAATTTATACATCGTAACAACTATAACTACATGTTCAAGCTTTACTTGTATATTTTAACGACCAATTTCTATTGTATTTTATTATGTTTCCCCTTTTCTAATTTATTTTTACGACGCTTGTTCCCCTTCTCTAATTTTTACAATGTTTATTTGGTTGGATTTTGATTATTATTATTATTATTATATATATATATATATATATATATATATATATAATAAATTATGCAACAAATCGCTTACACTAATTTATTGATAGGTATATCCGTTATTTATCAAAAAATATGTCCAGATGATCAAATCAATTTTTCTATCTGTTAGTAAATTTTGATTACCTTTTTTAATTGATTTTCTGTCAATAACTACCGATAGACATATAAAATCCGTCAATAATAACGGTTGATAACAAAATTATTGACGAATTTTTGTTCGCAAAAAATCCAGATAATCACCTTTTTCTAACGGATTTCTAGCATTACCAATTGATTTCATTTCTAGGTAATGTTTTTTTTTCTTGTAACAATAGGAGATACACCTGCACTTTGGATTCATACATCTAAGGCCAAAGCAAAAGATAAGAGGATTAAAAATGTAAAGTCCACTTCTACACATATTATACTAGATCACTTTATAAGTAAGTGCATCGATATGCTTGATGAGATTGAAAACATGCTCAAATGAAATCTAAGTGAAAGGAATGGAAAAAGTTAAGAGCATGAATATTAGAAAATGTTTGTTTTCGGATCTCTTAATAAGAAACAAACCTAAGGATGGTTAATGTTTAAACTTTATAGAGTGAGGGGTATATATTAATACGAAGATATATTCATAAATGGGATCATAATTAAATTATGTAAAAAAATATGATTATTTTCACAAAAACATTTAAAACATTAAATTTATAATTTTTTCTTTTTTATATATTATTGAACTTTTTTATTTCTACTTAATATGAAACATTTTTTAATTCTAACAATTTTTTCCTTAAATATAAGATTCATTGTATTATTATACTTCCCCTAAACAAAAACATATCTTAACCACCAATACTTCAATGAAAACATATTTAGTTATACAAGTTCTTTAGTCAAAGCATATATTAACCACGAATACCTGAATGATGACCCTTAATTAATTCAGTACAATAATACATGATTTCTTGAAATCCATGTCAAAAGGACTTTAAATATAAAACATTTCAATCTCAAGATACATCATACTCTACTAAATTCATCATTAGACCTTCTATATATCAACACTTTTGATAAGAAAATAATAACACAACAATTCCCTAACTTTAGAAAACCAACCATAAGCAACAATAACGATCACAAAGAGACATAAATATTTGTAATGTAGAAAAACTCTTTTTAACAGGAGAAGTAAAATCCCACCAATACAAGACAATCAATCAAATTCTATTATGATCAAAGATATAACATAATCTAATAAAAAAAAAAATACAAGTAGGTGGTTACAATGAGTCAATACATTCAATCAATAAAACGTTCAAATTGAAGTACAGAAGAAAAAATCTCACAATTTAATCTGAACTGCTGTACTTGAGAAGAGAGTTCAAAACAAACTATGAAAATCATAAAATACAACGATTGGAAAACACCTCCAGAAAAGAATAAACAAAGGGGCTTCAGGCTTGTATGTGTTCTTTCATAATACATTACTCTTTGTGTTGCTCTTCCTCTAATTATTCTCCGGATCTTCTGGATTATCAATGACAATGTTTTTTATGTGAGATATTTTTGGCCAAAACTCTCCAACATGGGGCTGATATTTTTTACGTAAGTCGGGACAACCTTCAATCGTCAGACTTTCAAGTGCGGTGAGGTGATCGATATTATCTGGGAGAGATACCAGTTGTGGACAATCTGTTATAGAAAGTGTTTTCAGATCAGTCAGAGTTGACAGCCAATCTGGAAGTGTTTCAATTTTGTCGCAATTTGAAATATACAAGAACTGTAAGGAGTTGGCAACATTTTGAAGCCATTTAGGCAAGGTCGCCAGCTGTGATAATGCAGAAAAATTAACAGTTTTCAACTTCAGCTTGGGGCTTTGTTCATCATGTTGGTCCATCGATAGTTCCAAGTCCAAATTACCACAGGACCCAACAACCAAAGTTTCTAATTCAGGAAAAATTTTACCATCCAGTGGCAAACACTTTAGACTCTCACAGTCAGCAACATTCAATACTTTCAGAGCTGAGAATTCCACCCCGCCGAACAGGGACTCCACATTAGGGCATGATTCAACAGACAGGTTTTCAAGCGAGCACATGTTGGCAATCTCATTGTCAGGCAAAACAGATTGCTTTGTGCTAAACTCAAAATGCCGGACACTGATCAGTTTTCTTAATCCTTTTGGCAAAGCTTCCAGCTCCATGCATTCGAGAACTCTAAACACTAGCAAATTTTGGAGCTTGCAAATTGAATTTGGGAGTTTCTTAATAGTGTTATTTTTGCTAATGTCCAGATATCTCAAGTGTTTCAACTTAGCAATGGTCCGGGGCAAAGTCTCAAATGTCGAAGACCATAAATCTAGAACTCGCAAGTATTTGAACTTTGACAGGCAAGTATTTAGTAAAGCTTCACCGTTGGCTCCTTTTGCACTGTTTGGAAACATTATGGTTCTCAAAGATACTGATTTTTTGGGGAATAAATTGCCGCACAAGTTGCCTTCAGAAAAAGACAGATGCCGAACATTCTCAGGAATATTTTGATTGTAGGAATGAATAAGTAAACACTCACCTTTTGCAACAAATTGGGCAAGATCATGCACCAAATCATGTAATATGAAACTATAATAAGTGCCAACCTTCTCAACATCTTGAAGAAATGATCTCGACATTAATTCATACAAATGTTCATTGGCCACATCTTCTAGAGTCCTGTTCTTTTTTGGTAATGCAATGAGTCCAAGTGCCCCCCAAAGCGAGGTTACCTCAAAACTATTGAGTGTATAATCCTTTGGGTAAAGGGAAAACAATGCAAAACATTGTCTCAAATAAGATGGCATGAGATCATAACTTAATTTAAGAGCATGTAAAATGCCATCTTTTTTCTGAGGCAAATTCCAAATTTCGTTGTCTCTCACATATTCCCATTCACTGGCCTCAAATTTGGAGAATAGTAAACTCCCCAATGTTCTCACAGCCAGAGGAACCCCGCTGCATTTTTTCACAATTTCTCTGCCAATACTTACTAAGCGAGGATGTTTGTCCTCCTCTCCTTCTTTAAATGCCCATAAGACGAAGAGAGACAACGAATCCTCCTGAGAAAGGCCTTGTAAAATGTGAGGTGAAACTGTACCCATCATGGAAGCAATTGAATGACTGCGTGTGGTCACTAGAATTTTACTTCCTGCTGCACTTACTTGGATTAAATTCCGCAACTCAATCCATTTAACACGGTCTTCGTTCCATACGTCGTCCAAGACGAGTAGGAAACTTTGACCGGCAAGTTTGTTTGTCAGCTGATTTTGCAGTTGTTGCAGATCCAACATGTTCAAGTTCTGTTGGTGAGGAGGAGCATCAGCAGAAGCTTGATCATTGGCAGAATTGATGATTTTGATTATAAGTTGCTTAATGTCGAAGTCATCAGAAACACACACCCACATCTTCAATGTGAAGCACTGTTCGATCCTTTTGTCGTTGAACACAAACTTTGCAAGTGTAGTCTTTCCCAAGCCTCCAATCCCCACAATGGGGATAACAGAGAGACTTGTATCGTTAACATTAGGATTCTGCTGCATCAACAGCTGTACGATCGTTTCTTTATCGTGTTCCCTTCCTATAACATCTGAATCATTCACACGAGAGTGTGTCATTTCTCTAGTATGCACGACACGTGTGTCAACCTCAATATTTTGAAGACTAAACATGTGTCTATCAGCTGCGACCTTGTCTAATCTCTGAGTGAGATCTTTTATCTGCTGAGCCATCTTGTAACGAAAAACAAGTGGATTAGAGCTTGAGAAGAAGTGACTTACCTTGTCTTTGGCGTTGCCATGAGCTTTGACCACTTTCTTTCGCAATGTTTGGCACTCAAATTCATCCAACACATCTTCAGCATCGGAGAAGACAGCTTTGAGCTGAGTGAGCCATTCCTGCAGCTCATGGTTGTGCTCCTGCTTTTGCTCAGCATCTAACAAGACAGCCTTGACTAAAGAGAGAGTCTTGTTAAGGTCTCGAAGACTGTCGTTTAAACCCACCACTCGAGAAGCTTCTTCAAAAGCATGAGAAGCAAGCTTTGCTATGAGTGACTCCGCGATGCTGAAGAGATATGATTCGGCCATAGTCGTCACAAACGCAAATGTCAGAGATCAGATCGGAAAGCAAAATACTGGTTTCTCAGTAAACTTTATTGGTACCCTAGTTTGACCGATGAATTCCATATCGACTCAATGATTAATACCACTTGCAACATGGTTTTATTTATAATATAATGATGGAAGGATAAATACTTTTCTTCCATGTGAATCCATCAGCCGACCTCCAGAGACTTTTTATCAGAAATAATATTAAGAAAGCCATTATTTTTCACAATAAATTTCTCACTTTATTTATTCAAGTAGAACTTCTTGTAATAAGATCAAAATTCGGTTTTCAAACCAAATTCAAATGCTGAAACTAGAAAAGCAGTAAGAATTCAGTTCCCCGAATCGAATTTTGAATTGTGTTTCTTTTTTCTTGGGCACCAGCTTATTTTTATATATATTTATATATTTAAATATATATATATATATATATATATTTATATAAATAAAATTTTAAATATATATATATATATATAATTAATAATATTTATATATATATATATATATATTTAATCAATACATATTTATATATTTTGATATATTTTAATATTTATAACAAATTAATAAATGTTATGTAATAAAATATTTAATAAATACATATATTTATATATTTAATAAATACATATTTATATATATATATATATATATAATTAATATATGTTTATATATTTTAATATTTACTTACTATTAATCCATATTATATAATAAGATATTTAATAAATACATATATTTGTACATTTAATAAATATATATTTATATAATATATATATATATATATATATATATATATTTAATTAATACATATTTATATATTTTTGATATATTTTAATATATTTTTACAATTAATAAATATAATGAGATATTTAATAAATATAAATATTTGTATATTTAATAAATACATATTTATATAACTACATATTTATATTTTTTGTATTTTATAGATATTTATATTCATAATATAAAATATTAAAAGATCATAGATAAATGGTAATAATACATGTTAATATAAAACACAAATAAATTAAAAATAATACAAGATATGATATTTGAAAAATCATCTTATAAATCGGGAGGCAAATGTGGACCTTATTATCTGATGTTTGTCAACATATGTATTATCTTCTAAGTCACAAATTATTTCTTCAGATGTTGCCCTACTATGGTTTTAGCTTGAATAAACAATTCAATTTTTTCACATGTTTGTTCACGTTGTATGGTTAGATGTAGAAATTTTTTTTTTCAAGCGATTGATCATTTGGGCCACATCAGCATCATTTTTTATTTATACGGAGTCATGAATGATCTTTTGTTTTTGCACTTAAACTGGACGATGATAGTTTATTTAAGTAATTTTTTTTTGCGATCCCCATAATCAAGTACTTGAGTAATGTTTTCATATAGTTCAACAAAAGACCATATGTGTTGGATTATCACTGCTCTAGGGTTTAAACATATATAAGTAAGACTCAAACCAATTGGATTTTCCATGATAGTTGCACGTTAGACAAGTAGCATCATATATAACTAAACCATCACCTGTTAGTTTTGGTTAACGATAATACAACCTATTGATTGAGGTGTATGCAAGAATCCCTAAAGAAGTGTATTTTTTTTTCCTTAAGAATGATGAATGTGTAATTGTGTGGAATTCAAAAAAATTTACAAGATGCACATTAAAAGTACAACTCTTCCTCATTTGTTGTAATTTGCCCTTTGCAAATACTGTTGCAAGATAAGAGCTATCAAAATTTTCAGTGTTTGTAATGCTAAAGTCCTTCATTTGAAGAGTAAAAAGAAGAACACAAAGGTTGGATATGATTGTTGATAAGCAAGATGAGTGGGCGAATTTGATGTGAGAACAAACCTAAATTTATATATGTCATTTACTGTATTATGTAGACAAAAATGTCCTCATAATAAATTAGTGTATTTTGTATTTTGAGATGGACATTGGACAGTGTAATGATGACTTGACTTTAACATTGGACAGTGTGTGTTAAATGTGGATTGTTGATCTTTGGTGATTAAATTCTGACTATTACTTTTTGCTAACATCTTGAATAATATATGGTATGGAGGAATCTTATCTTAAACAACATATTGGAAAATGTGCATTAATATGTGGTATTGAGGATTTTTATCTTGAACAATATTTGATGCATCCCTAGGTTGGTTTTGAAAAGTGTAGATTACATTTTGACTGTTGATATTTTGGGATATAATCTTGACCGTTAGTTTTTGCTTAGATATTGGGCAGCGTGTAAATGTAGTGACGACAGGGTTTCAAACATTCAGAATGTACCACGCAATGATCTGGTTGTGTACCAAGCAAGGATTGATCATATTCAACCTGACTAGGCAAACTCGGTTAACAATTTCATTATTAAATATGTTTTAAATTAATTTTGCTAACTACATACTTATAACTTTGATGTAGTTTTTATGGGCACCATATCGAGGATAAGAAACATCCATAATACCAGCATAAACATATCGGGATTCACATTGGTGGACGTCTTGCACGACCATAATTTGTTTTGCAGTTGTGGAGTAGCATCAATCTGATCGGGTCAAGTTTCGATTTGGTTTGTTTCAGGAAGTCTCTTCTCCCTTGCAAAATCTAGACAACCTGCACAAAATTGACATGCAGGAGAGACCTGATGAAAATTGGCAACTAAGGCATGCCGAATGGATCAATATATGGAACAACAAACCACACAGTGGCGGATCTTCTTGGGAGTTGAGGGGGGTCGTGACCCCCCCCCCCCCAAAGTTTTGTAACTCCCATGTAATTTATGATTTTGGTTCCCTAAACTTAATGAACATTTAATATATTTACTTGTATATTTACAATTTTATCCTCTCAGCCCCTTCTCAGTTTTGTAACTCTCATATAATTTATGATTTTGTCCCCCTTATATTTAATGACCATTTAATATATTTAAGTATATATTTACAATTTTATTCTTTCACCCTTTCATCTTCATTTTTCCTTTTATATTTATTTATTATTTATTAATAATATATTATTTGGCCCCTCCAAGATTAATGGTCAAGATCCGCCACTGATACCACACCTTGTACTAATAGGTCTACCATTGCAAAGATCTTTCTATCACACTAGAGAATACATGGAATGATACACTGTCAATTCCATTTATTTATTATTTGTGCAAGAACTACTTCAAGATCCAAGAAACCAACAACGTGCACGTAGCCAATCATGCACATTTCAAACTGGCTCATCCACTACACCATCATTGTAGATGTCTCCACACCAACCATTCAAAATAACTTCCTACTGGACACCTCCACCACAACCGACAATGGATCCTACACGACTTTCTTTTGCTTCAAGTTTAGATGAATTTTTTTCAAATTTATTTGAAGAAAATCCTATAACACCCTCACCTGCCCATGATTATATGCAATCAATGTACCCACATGAAGGAACTAGTTTCTCTACCTTCCTTCCCCATGATCCACTTGAACAATAACCACCCGAAGAAGAACATTAGAGAAAAAATCCAGGACGTAATAGATGATATCCTCGTTGTGGAACTGATCACCATTAAGGAGACTAGTTTAACTTTTATGTAATGGATAATACCTTTTGTGTAATGCACAATAATTGTACTTTAACTTCTTTTGTAATGCATATTAACTTTTCTGTAATTTATTTTCAGTGTAATTTTTTATTTAAATATTATTTTCAACTATCCAATTTTATAAATTTATTAAAATATAGAAAATATTTCCTAAATTTCCAATAACAAGAAAATATTACTAAATATTATTTTCTTAAAATATTTATATCTAATTATTTCATATTAAAAGTTAAACAAGTATCATCATACTAATGCACGTCGACCAATATCTCAGCAAAAACTAATAGTCAATATTACATCCCAAAACAACAATAGTCAAGATGTAATCTACACTTTTCAAAACCAACCTAGGGATGCATGGAATACTATTCAAGATAAAACTCTTCAATACGACACACTAATGCACACTACCCAATATACTGTTCAAGGTGTCAGCAAAAAGTAATAGTCAAAATTTAATCATCAAATATCAACGATCCACATTTAACACACACTGTCCAATCTCAAAGTCAAATCACCATTACGCTGTCAAAGGCCCACCTAAAAATACAAAGTACACTAATTTTTTATGGGGGCATTCTCATTTACACAATACAGTAAATGACATATATAAATTCAAGTTTGCTCTCACAAAAAATTCGCCCACTCATCTTGCCTATCAACAATCATATTCAACCTTTGTGTTCTTCTTCTTTTTACTATTCAAATGGAGGACTTTAGCATCACAAAGACTGAAAATTTTGATAACTCTTATCTTGCAGCAACATTTGCAAATGGGCAAATCACAACAAATGAGGAAGGGTTGTACTTTTAATATGTATCTCCTAAACTTTTTCGAATTTCCACTACAAGAAAATCTCATATTTTCGACGGATTTTTACTGACAGATTTGTAGTCGTCGGAAAATGAGTCATTATCGACAGATATAAATTATTTGTGAAATTTGATCTAATAATAATTAGTTACCGATGGATATTTTCATCGGTAAATTAATAATTAGTTGTCAACGGATATATCAATCGAGTAAAATTATATAATAATTACTTAATATATTCTAATAAATTAATTATTCACCTAATTAAAAAATTAAAATTTTTTATTTAATAATTTAATTTAATCATAATTAGATTAATTTATAATAATTTATTAAATTAAATAAATTTAAAAAATAAATATTTAATTATATATAAATATATCAAAATATATAAATATATTTGTATTTATATATTTACATGGATATATATTTATTTGTATATAAATATAATTTATTTATAAATTATTATAAAAAAAATTCTAGTAGCTTAGTGGTTAGAGTAATAACCATCATAAAAAATCCAAATGATTTTGGTCTAACTTATATAAACACGTTGG